GTCAATGTCGGGCTTACCAAATTTAGGCCCTTTGAATTTGAATCCACCTTTCACATCTGGACCTTCCACATCGACATCTGGTGCCTCCAAGTCGACATCGGGTCCTTCTAGTTTCACGTCTGGTCCTTCGACATTTCCTTCTGGAAGATCGACATCAGCCTTTCCTCCGAACGAAGGCATCTTCCAGCCTGGTCCTTTGAATTTTGGTCCCTTGATATCAATGTCCGGTGCGTCGAATTTGGGGCCCTTCAACTTGAACCCTCCCTTCACGTCAGGACCCTCTACGTCAACATCTGGTGCCTCCAGGTTCACGTCAGGACCCTCAAGGTCTGCCTCAGGGAGATCGACGTCTGCCTTCCCGCCGAACTTGGGCATCTTGAACTTTGGTTTGCCAAACTTTGGTCCTTTGAACTTGAACCCTCCTTTCACATCTGGGCCTTCAAGATCTACATCAGGACCCTCGAGATCCACATCAGGTCCCTCCAAATCGACATCGGGTCCTTCTAGTTTCACGTCTGGTCCTTCGATATCCCCTTCTGGAAGATCTACGTCAGCCTTTCCTCCGAATGAAGGCATCTTCCAACCTGGTCCTTTGAATTTCGGCGCTTTGATGTCAATGTCTGGTTTCCCAAATTTAGGCCCTTTCAGTTTGAATCCACCTTTCACATCTGGTCCTTCCACATCGACATCTGGTGCCTCCAAGTCGACATCGGGTCCTTCTAGTTTCACGTCTGGTCCTTCGACCTCTGCATCTGGAAGATCGACGTCTGCCTTTCCTCCGAATGAAGGCATCTTCCAGCCTGGTCCTTTGAATTTTGGTCCCTTGATATCAATGTCCGGTGCGTCGAATTTTGGGCCCTTAAACTTGAACCCTCCCTTCACGTCAGGACCCTCTACGTCAACATCTGGTACCTCCAGGTTCACGTCAGGACCCTCAAGGTCTGCCTCAGGGAGATCGACGTCTGCCTTCCCGCCGAACTTGGGCATCTTGAACTTTGGTTTGCCAAACTTTGGCCCTTTGAACTTGAATCCTCCTTTCACATCTGGTCCTTCTACGTCAAGATCTGGTCCTTCCAGGTCGACATTGGGTCCTTCAAGATTCACATCTGGTCCTTCGACCTCTGCCTCTGGAAGATCTACATCAGCCTTTCCTCCGAATGAAGGCATCTTCCAGCTTGGTCCTTTGAATTTTGGTCCCTTAATGTCAAAGTCAGGTTTGCCGAATTTCGGACCTTTGAGCTTCAGTCCTCCTTCGACGTCTGGTCCCTCAAGGTCGACGTCAGGCCCTTCTAGTTTCACGTCTGGTCCTTCGACCTCTGCATCTGGAAGATCCACGTCTGCCTTTCCTCCGAATGAAGGCATCTTCCAGCCTGGTCCTTTGAATTTCGGCCCTTTGATGTCAATGTCTGGCTTCCCAAATTTAGGCCCTTTGAATTTGAATCCACCTTTCACATCTGGTCCTTCCACATCGACATCTGGTGCCTCAATGTTGACGTCAGGCCCTTCTAGTTTCACGTCTGGTCCTTCGACCTCCCCTTCTGGAAGATCGACGTCTGCCTTTCCGCCAAACTTTGGCATCTTCCAGTTCGGTCCTTTGATGTCAAAATCGGGTTTGCCAAACTTCGGGCCTTTCAGTTTGAAGCCACCCTTCACGTCTGGGCCCTCAACATCGACATTAGGTCCCTCCAAGTCAACATTAGGTCCTTCTAGTTGCACGTCTGGTCCGTCGACCTTACCTTCTGGAAGATCGACATCAGCCTTTCCTCCAAACGAAGGCATCTTCCAGCCTGGACCTTTGAATTTTGGTCCCTTGATATCAATGTCCGGCGCGTCGAATTTAGGTCCCTTGAACTTGAACCCTCCCTTCACGTCAGGACCCTCTACGTCAACATCTGGTGCCTCCAGGTTCACGTCAGGACCCTCAAGTTCTGCCTCAGGGAGATCGACGTCTGCCTTCCCGCCGAACTTGGGCATCTTGAACTTTGGTTTGCCAAACTTCGGCCCTTTGAACTTGAATCCTCCTTTCACATCTGGGCCTTCAAGATCTACATCAGGACCCTCGAGATCTACATCAGGTCCCTCCAAGTCGACATCGGGTCCTTCTAGTTTCACGTCTGGTCCTTCGATTTCCCCTTCTGGAAGATCGACGTCAGCCTTTCCTCCGAATGAAGGCATCTTCCAACCTGGTCCTTTGAATTTCGGCGCTTTGATGTCAATGTCCGGCTTACCAAATTTAGGCCCTTTGAATTTGAATCCACCTTTCACATCTGGTCCTTCCACATCGACATCTGGTGCCTCCAAGTCGACGTCGGGTCCTTCTAGTTTCACGTCTGGTCCTTCGACCTCTGCATCTGGAAGATCTACATCAGCCTTTCCTCCGAACGAAGGCATCTTCCACCCTGGTCCTTTGAATTTGGGACCCTTAATATCAAAGTCAGGTTTACCGAATTTTGGACCTTTCAACTTCAGTCCACCTTCAACATCTGGGCCCTCAAGGTCGACGTCAGGTTCTTCTAGTTTCACGTCTGGTCCTTCGACCTCCCCTTCTGGAAGATCGACGTCTGCCTTTCCTCCGAAAGAAGGCATTTTCCAATTTGGTCCTTTGATGTCAAAATCGGGTTTGCCAAACTTCGGACCTTTCAATTTGAAGCCACCCTTCACGTCTGGGCCCTCAACATCGACATCAGGCCCTTGCAGGTCGACATCAGGTCCTTCTACCTTCATGACAGGCCCTTCGACCTCTGCCTCTGGAAGGTCTACATCAGCTTTCCCTCCAAACGAAGGCATCTTCCAGCCTGGTCCTTTGAATTTGGGACCCTTAATGTCAAAGTCAGGTTTACCGAATTTTGGACCTTTGAGCTTTAGTCCACCTTCAACATCTGGCCCCTCAAGGTCGACGTCAGGCCCTTCCAACTTCACATCGGGTCCTTCTAGTTTCACGTCTGGTCCTTCAACCTCTGCATCTGGAAGATCGACGTCTGCCTTTCCGCCAAACTTTGGCATCTTCCAGTTTGGTCCTTTGATGTCAAAATCGGGTTTGCCAAACTTCGGGCCTTTCAATTTGAAGCCACCCTTTACGTCTGGGCCCTCAACATCTACATTAGGTCCCTCCAAGTCAACATTAGGTCCCTCTAGATTTACGTCTGGCCCTTCGATATCTGCTTCTGGAAGATCTACGTCTGCCTTTCCTCCGAATGAAGGCATCTTCCAGCCTGGTCCTTTGAATTTCGGCCCTTTGATGTCAATGTCTGGCTTCCCAAACTTTGGCCCTTTGAATTTGAATCCACCTTTCACATCCGGACCTTCCACATCGACATCTGGTGCCTCCAAGTCGACGTCGGGTCCTTCTAGTTTCACGTCTGGTCCTTCGACCTCTGCATCTGGAAGATCTACGTCAGCCTTTCCTCCGAACGAAGGCATTTTCCAGCCTGGTCCTTTGAATTTTGGTCCCTTGATGTCAATGTCCGGCGTGTCGAATTTCGGCCCCTTCAACTTGAACCCTCCCTTAACGTCAGGACCCTCTACGTCAACATCTGGTGCCTCCAGGTTCACGTCAGGACCCTCAAGTTCTGCCTCAGGGAGATCGACGTCTGCCTTCCCGCCGAACTTAGGCATCTTGAACTTTGGTTTGCCAAACTTAGGCCCTTTGAACTTGAACCCTCCTTTCACATCTGGGCCTTCCAGATCTACATCAGGACCCTCGAGATCTACATCAGGCCCTTCTAGTTTCACGCCTGGTCCTTCGACTTCTGCCTCTGGGAGATCTACGTCAGCCTTCCCGCCGAAAGAAGGCATCTTCCAGCCGGGTCCTTTGAATTTTGGTCCTTTTATGTCAAAATCGGGTTTACCGAAATTTGGACCTCTCAGCTTCAAGTCACCTTCAACGTCAGGACTTTGTACCTCCATGTCTGGTCCCTCTACGTTGACACTGGGACCTTCTAGTTTTCCACTTGGTCCTCTGACTTCTGCCTCTGGAAGATCTACATCAGCCTTTCCTCCGAATGAAGGCATTTTCCAGCTGGGTCCTTTGAATTTTGGTCCTTTGATGTCAATATCTGGTCTATCGAAATTAGGGCCCTTCAACTTGAAGCCTCCTTTGACGTCGCGCCCTTCCAAGTTGATGTCTTTCCCCTCAACGTCTGGCATTTCGATGTCTGGTCCACTGAATGATCCATCTGGTCCTTTTAATTCCATTTCGGCTCCATGGATGTCGTACGATCCTCGCCCAAAACCAAACTTTGGTCCTTTAAAACCATTAAACCGTCCCTTCTTTGGTTCTGGGCCTTCAATCTCAAGATCAGCTTCTTCAATGTAGAGTTCACGACGAGCACCTATAATGTGCTCTGCTTCGGGTAGTGCCACTTCTCCTCTTATGTCTTTTTCCCTTCCTCCAAATTTCCATCTTCCAAGGTTTGGGCTCACGTCGATCCCCCGAACTTTGCTCGAAAACCTACCCTTTGGCGTACTAACCTCAAGAGCCTCACCGTCGACTTCCATTCCAGATCCTTCAAGATCCACCTCGTAGCGGCCTGTGGTTAGGGGCAAAATAATATACATGCCTCAGCATATGTCCTAGGCACGCTTCAGGGGTACAGAAAAGTCGATTAGTGAATTCATAAACGCTACAAAACATTCCAAGCCTGTAAGGATGTGACCGCAGGTTTGAATCCTTCCAAGATGTGATTAGTAAACAACCACAATGTAAACATTTTAGAAAAGATACAGCCAAAGCAAATTTTGCTTTAGGAAGCCCAAACCTGAGGTCCCCATTCCTACCTGATACACCATCCACCACCTCGTGCACGGTATGCTGGGTCACCGTGACGGTTTTTTCACCACGGTGTCCCCATCCTGCACCAAGGTCTCCACTTTGGTGGTCACTGCTCCAACTGCGCTATCTGCACCATCCACCACACCGTCCACCTGAGCCTGTGCGTTTTCTACCGCTTCCTGCACACTAGCCTGAGCTTCCTTGGAGGATTCTTCCAACTTTTCTTCAGCATTCTCTACAGCGACTGCAGCACTTTTTACTGCTGCATCTGCCTCGTCTTCTACTTCTTTTACAGTTCCCTCCACCTTATCGGCAGCATCCTTAGCAACTGCTTCGGCACTGGCTACTGCACCCTCAACTTTTGCCTCTGCATCTTCTTTTGCTGCTTCCGCTGCGTCTTCTGCAGCTTTAGCAGTATCTTTAGCTTCTTCCAAAGCATCATTAACAGTGCCCTCTACTTCAGACTTGGCACCCTCAGCAGCGGCTTCTGCGCTCTCTACAGATTTTTCTACTTTTGCAGCAGCTTCATCTGCCACCCCCTCTGCTTCTTTAGCTACATTGTCTGCTTTAGCTTCAGCGCCCTTCAGCTTTGCCGCTAAGCTCTCTTTAGCTCCCATAGCTGCTTCCGTTACACCTTTTGCAGCATGCTCTACCTTCTGCTCTACTGCGTCAACTGCTTGCTCTGCTTTTTCTTTGCCAGCCTTAGCCATGTCTTCTGCCTTTCCTTTTGCAGCCTCTGCAGCATGCTCTGCCTTGTCCTTTGCGACTTCAGCCGCACTTTCTACGCTTTCCTTAACTTCTTTAGCTTTCTCTTCTGTCTTTTCCTTAGCCTGCTTTGCACTTTCCTCCACCTTCTCCTCGACACTCTTAGCTGTGTCAGCTACTTTACTCTTAGCTTCTTTTGCTCCTTCTTCTACTTTCCCTGTTGCACCTTTAACCTTATCCCCGACAGATTCGACAGCGCCTTTCATCATACCTATTGGAGAGCCTACAACGGGAAGCTCGATGTCTTCTGGTCTCCATGTCGTTGTCCGTGGAGGACGGTCTCCCTCGGGGATGCGGAAGGTGCATTTTGGCTCGACGATGTACTTTGGCGTGATGGCACACCGTTGCATCTCGGACGGAGACAGGAAATAGAAACCTATGTAACGCAAAAAATATATTGTTTGACCAGTAGAAATCATGCCAACGACTCCAGCTCCAAGGGCGAATAGGGTACTTTTCTCTGTAGGTGCATTAGGTCAATGGACGGGATAACAGTTGATGTTACATCAAAGCTACATCAAAATAAACAGCCAACATGGACTCAACAAGAATGCCTAACGCTTGATGAATTAACAAGAACGCATATTTGTCTTGATAAAGCATGCGGAGTCGACTTACATTCGCCTTTGCTGGTCAAGGCACATTGCTTAGTACCAATGACGTTCTCCTTGGTTGTCACTTCAAACTCTGCGACCTGCTTCAGGGCTGGGGTCAGGAAAGCGCAGACTTCACCATCTGATGTCATACAGGTGACGTAATTCTCGGCTTCTGTGACTTCTGTGGCGGGCATGCTCATGTGGGAGACCCGGCGGACCAGGCAGCCGTCTTGGAGGGAGAGCCAGTACTTCTGTTGTGTCTTCATGGTTGGTAGGGCGATCGTCTTGAATTTTTCTTCAGAAACAACAAGAAGCTGTTGGCCTTCTTTACCCTTCAAGTCGTCGTCCGAAGCGAATGTGATGACCTGACCAGTGGCGTCTAGGAGGGCGAGATGAATGACCGGGGCGCCATGTTGCAGCTGCACTTCTTTGGTGTACTCTGCCGTCACTTCCTCTTCCATTCTCTTCATGTCATCTCCCTTGGGCACCTTGACGTCGTACGCCATGATCTTTCCCGAGTTGGTGCCGACAAACAGCGTTGCGGATCCACCTTCGTCTCCATTAAGGCCAACGGGACTGAATTCAAAAGATTTGATAGTGCTGCCCGCCAGTTGACTTGCTCGGACAGCTTTGAACTCTGCATCATCATTGACTGTCTCGGTACTGTCTTCTACCGACGGGGTTCGCTTCGACCCCTTACCGAATTTGCGGATGGATCGGCGGAGGGAGTCGCGCAGGGACTTCCTCTGCTGACTCCTCGGTTCTAGTGAACCAGCTATTTCTTCGGGGGTCATGGTACATCTGGTGCTGACCACTCTCTTCTGTCTGTAATCAAACATTGCCAGTCCTTGCATGGTGCCAACAGCGACAAGGCCGAGCTTCGGTTCCAAGGCTAGAGCCGTTGTGGGGGCAGCGGGGTTACACTGAATCAGCTGCCTGCTCTGAAAGCCAGGGAAGGCTATAACGTCATTCCTTGCGGACAATTTTCCACTGCCCTTCCATTGATATCCTTCCACGCCGGCGGTGATGTCAACTGCTGAGGTAACCAGCTCCTGACTTTGCCCCTCGCCAACGGGGCTCATCTCCATGATGACGACCTGCCCGGACGCGCCGCCCACGGCCATGATACCGGTAGACGGGCACAGTTCGATATGCTGAACGGCAAGTCGCGGGTCGTCGCTGAATGGGTCAAAGAGACCGATCTTACGGATTGGTGGTACGCCTTCTTTGGTCTCTCCCTCGACGGTGTACTTGAATATCATGCGGCCCTCCTGAGGCGTCTTTTGGGACCCGGGTGTCTGTGAACCTTGTTCTTCCTCGCTCTTTCCACTCTCAAGGGCGTCGGCATCGACGTACGTTATGTCCTTAAGCCGGTTGTCAAAAACTTGGCTATTCGGAGAGAGGGGTTGTCCTTGCTGTTCTCGACCGGTCACGAATACTTCTGCCGTGCTGCAGCGGTAGATCGCCCGCATGGCCACCGTCGACACGTCCCAGAACTTGATGGAACCATCTTCGTGACCCGTGACCAGAAGATCCCTTGGCATGGGATCAGGGTCATCACTGAGCAGCTCACCTCCGTCTATTGGCCAGTCCCGTTGAGAGAAACGTCCTGCTCTCTGCTTTTGCCCTGCCTCCTTGAGGTTGTTCCACAGTTCTTGCGACACGTCTGTGTAGAGTTGCACGCATGTGACGTTGGACGAGTGAGGACTGTTCAGATACGGCTGCTCAAACACAGGCCACCCGTCGGTCTCCAAATCGACAGCGACGACTTCTTCTTCTGTGAGGACCATGAGGGTGTGCGGATTGTCGTGCTCTGAATCTTCTGTGGCGTCTGTGATTGTAAGAAAATCTACTATGCGGGACGGGAATTCGAGAACCTGACTATCTCTACCCTTCATCACGACGAGTGTTGCTCGGTCGTCCTGGTCACGTGGAAGTCCTCCGGTAAACAAGAAAAAGTTCTCGTCTTTCGTTGTTTTGGCGCTTATTTTGCTGATGGCTCTGCAGGGTGGGGGACCGAAGGGTGTTAGGGGGCCTTGCTCGGGGGCGGAGGTATCGGAGAGGCTCCAAATGTAGTAGGTGCCGTTTGTGTGTGAACTGATGACCTTGTCGCCATTTCTGTACCACTCCACGGATTCGAGCTGTTCGCTGCCTACTATCGTCTCCGACGTCCCGTCCTGTTCTTCGTCCCACGTGACCATGAGCCCTCTGGAGTAGCCAATCAGCACCTTGCTGCGAGTTTTGGGGTGCGGTGCCAGGGCGACCACGGCGCCGGGATCGACCTTGTAGTCGTCGGGCACGTTCTGCATGGCGGTTTCCTGGGAGACGACCCGGTCGGAAAGCACGAAATTGACGGCGTCCATCAGATGCACGTTACCTCCCTCGGTACCCAGCAGTAAGAACTTGCCGGACGAAAGGAGACAGCATGCCGAGATGCGGCCGATCTTGTCATCTGGAACAAACACGTTCACTTCCTCCAGCATGGACCGGAGCTCGTCTCGTGGGTTGATCTGGAAGAACAAGATTAAAGCATAAGTACGTGTAGTCTGTGATGTGGCCATTGCAGACGTGTTACAACTAATGGGCGATCACAGCCTAACGAAGACCGAATGGTAGGACAGCATCCATTACTGCTGAAGTCAAGAAATAACGTTTTAGAACAAAGTTTTGGCGAAGCACACGTACAATGAACGATGAGTACGTGTTGTCGATATAAATGCACATAAAACGTTAATCCAGCTCACCTCCCATAGATGTATCGTGTTGTCGCCTAGCAAACTGAGTAGACGACCCTGTCCTGGGAGGAAGAGCAGCTTTTTGACGGGCAGCACGGCGCGATGCACCGCTGAGATCTCCACACCTGGCCTCCCATACAGCTTAATGGCACCAGTGTCTGTTCCTGTAAGGTACGAAGAAAACCAACATCAGATACCACAAAGGACTGTAGGAGCGCAGGGCTAGCGTCAAACAACACATATAATAGAACCTTTAAGGAGGTATAGGAGAACCGATAACAAATTGCTTTCAAACAACCTGTTGGAAAATGGTTGTAGATAACTTGTCATGCTCAAGTGCGCCGTCTTGTGGGATGCTCGCAGAGTGCAAGTATTATCGACCAGTCGCCAACAGTGATTTTGGTAGTTTTGATACTAGTTGCGTTCCAACCAATTATAGAACTACCAAGATAAAATCTAGGACCTGACTAGCTTAGATAATCTCAATACACGATTTTGCCAATTACGTTTGTCTTTGATGCTTATTGCTACGGTGGCACAGGTCAATCTTCCTCTAGAAAAGTGTAAGACAGTACAATGTGAACACTAACAAAATCGACTCCAAATTGTATCCTTTAATATTCCTAATTTGTCTTCCAACTGCCAGTTCTTTCAGCATATTCACATATATATATAGCAACAAGAGGAGAGGGCGGGACGTTAGTAATCTCCAGGCAGATCCTAGGATGGCAAACGACAGTATCAAACCGGCCAGGCAGTATCCAATAGCCAGAGAGGGTCCAAACTTGGCAATCAAGTGATGCAAGTGCAGACACAAGTCGTGGCCGCAAGGTGGTATTGCTGACATTCAACCTGCCAGGTACAACTGCACGTGACGAGTAACCCCGCCCCTGGGCCCTCGGGCACAGTACATTCTAAAATATTCAGTCCACCATCTGCGCTCTAGCTGGTGCAAAGACTTCGATCAATAGCCTTCGTCTTTTACCGCTGCTCATTTTCGCTACAAATTCTACGAATGACTGATCGTCCTAAATAGCTGTCACCCATGCCTCCCCCAAGGCTGATAAATGACGATCCCTCCTCTCTCTAA